GTGTCACCACACCCAGCTAAGCATTGTTATTTCTATCTAGATAAAGCTAAACATTTAAATGGTACTCAAAATTTAACCTCTAAGGAATTTCTGCTATAATTTATCTCACTAATCTGACTGTATACTTAAAGCATGTTTAATCCAAGAACTAAGAATAAATTGTTCTTTTGTTTTCTCAATACTGAGAATTAAATCCTGGCCCTTCACAATGAGCCATGTGCATAGTGTTTTTTTGTTAAGTTTTATTTTTTAAATTTTGAGACAAGGTCTAATGTGTTAGTTGGCCCAAACTGGGCCCAAATTTCAGCCTTCCAGAATGCTGGGATTACAAGCACGTGCCACCATGCTTCATTTATGACTGAATGTTCTGGGATTTTCTTTAGGTGGGTGTTGGTTTTTAGACAGTCTCATGTAGTCCAGACTAGTATTTAATTTGCAGCCATCCTCTTGCCTCAGCCTCCAAAGTGCTGGGATTACAGGCATGTTCCACAATACCTGGCTCCAGTTTTTATTTTCCATCATCTGCTAAACCCTGTATATATTTTTTCTCTGTCTATAATCCATGCCTCCTCACCATTCTCAACCGTTCATATTATATGGCTAGCTGCCTGGATGAAAGTAATTCTGACTGAATCAGTTGTCAGTTCCTTTTCGCATCCCACCACCACCATCATTGAAGTTAGGCTCAAACGTGCTAGACAAGTGCCCTACACTGACCTATACGCCCACTAATTTTTTATTTTGAAATAAGGTTTTGCTGAGTTGCCCAGCCTAGCCTTAAGTTTTCAATCCTCCTGCCCCTCAGCCTTGTAAGTGGCTGGTATTGCAGGTGTGTGCCACAGCACCTGATTGTGGTATTTTTAACCAGTTGGCATTTTATGTGGCGTTTTTTTTTTTTGTTGTTGTTGTTTTTTTTTTTTTCAGAACCGGGGATTGAACTCAGGCGTTTGTGCTTTCCAGGCAAGCACTTATTCTACTGAGCTATCTCCCCGGTTCCTATATGGCTTATCTTTTTACTTCTGTGGTACATTATGAGCTTCACAAGGACCAAAACATTATTTTAGCCTTTTGGGGGCAGGGGTAGCCTAGGCTGGCCTCAAACTTGAGACAATCCTCCTGCCTTAGCCTTCTGAGCATTAGGATTTCAGGTGCATGCTACCATACCCAGCTGAAAGCTCATTTATTTTGATCAAGTAAATTGAAGGAACCTTATAATAATAAAGTTTGTTTTGTTTTTGTGGTGTTGCAATACTAGGCAAATGGTCTACTAGTAAACTACTCCCAGACCAGGAAAAATTTTAACTACTCTGTAGTGGGCAAATAATATGGAGGGTTTTTTGTTTTTTGTTTTTAAGTTTTACATAGTGCTGGAGACCAAACCTAGAATCTCACACTTTGCTGCCAGTGAGCTACAAGTACCTCAGCCTATAATTTCTTGATGTGACTTTTTCAAAACTCTGAAGCAGTTGTCATATAAAAAAATCACAGCTGAGAAAAAGAATTTTCTTAAATGAACCATGATCCTTTTAAAAATACACAACTACTAGCTAATCTTAGAAGGGAAGGGACTTTCCCTTCTATTCTCTCCCCCCCCCCCTGAATCAGATATAATCAGGATTGTGTCAAAAGTTCAAAAGGGAAAGTGGAAGGTAAAATGAGCTGAGTTGGCACTCTTCCCTCAACATTGTACCTGTAAGCTTGATATGTTGTTTCAGAGATTAACTTTATAGACTTCCGTACCCAGAAGTATGAAAATTCTTAGGGAATGCTTTTCACAAGCTTGATCTTAACATATTGAATAAAGAGAGCAGTTAATCCCTTTTGTAAAGTAATTTGAGAGGAGGGAATTCAAAATGTAAAATCTCACCTGCAGAAAATACTCACCTGTGTAAAGGCCTTTCTATCTTTAGACACTTACAAAGACTTAATATTTTAATGCGGAAGGGTGAACTTGGCTAAAAAGCCAGTGGGTGAAATTAGAGAGAAATAATCCAATGCTTTCTTTCTGGGAATCATCATCCTACTCTCCAGGGGACCTGATTTCATTCCCTGTGAGGAATGCGAATACTCCTCTGTATAATAAGCCAGGAGCTCTAAGTGTAAGCTTGACTTTTAGTATAATGAGAGTCTTGTTATATGCAGTTTTACTCTTAGTCATTAATACAATGAACAAATGTTGTGGTTACCTGGGAAAGAAAATTTGAGTGCTTTTAAACCTCTTGTGAGATTTAGTTTCATGCTTGAAACCTATACACTCTTAGGCCCAGCAGCATCTGTAGAAGATTCCGGGCTCTGGTTTTACTGTGTAGAGAGGTTAATGAACTGTGGAAAAATGGATGCCACAAAAAATGGTTTTAAGTCCTGGCTAAAAATCTTTTGTTTTGCTGAATGACACTGTTAACAAGTAGCCTTAACCTTAAAAATTAGTAAAATTTTCAACAGAACACGTATTTATAACATTTTATGAATAATCACACTAAGCTTTGTAATTCAGTACACTTTTTCCCTATGGATTTATAGCAAACCTCATAAGGCCAGTGAGTTCATACAAAAGGAAAGAAAACTAGGGTAGAAATTTGGGGTGGTGGGTTGTTTTTGTGAGAGGCAGAGTCTCACTTTTTAACGTTGGCTAGCCTTGAGCTCACTATGTAGCCCAGGCAGGCTCAAACTCAATGCAATTCTACTGCCTCAGTCTTCCAGTTGCTACTAGGATTAGGAGAATGCACTGCTCACCTGACTGGGAAATTTTTTGAAAGTGTCAAATTGGCAGCAGTTGATACAAAGACATACAACTGTCTATACCATAAATTTATATGTTACAAAACATATAATTTTTTTGTCGTTTTATGTATTTGGTGCAGGGTCTCACTACACAGCCTGGACTCATGGTGGTCCTCCTGTTTTCAGCCTCCCCAGCACTGGGATTATAGGCCTGTACCGCCATGCTGGGACTTGGTTGCCAGCTCAGTTGATAGGGTGGGACTGGCATGGCATGCAGGACCGGGTTAAATCCTGGTTCCTTCGCTTGCCAAAGCAGGCGCTTAGTCTGCTGAGCTATCTCTCTGGCCCTAAAATATTTTTGTTTTTATGTTATGTTATGTTATGTTATGTTATATGTTATTTTTGGTACTGGGGGTTGAACCTCAGGACCTTGCGCTTGCCAGGCAGGTGCTTAAGCTACTGAGCTATCTCCCAGCACCCTATAATTTTAAATATATTACAAAATGTGTTTATAAAACAGTTAACATTGATTTTTATTGTAAGCCAGTGAAGTAAAAGAAATATTTATTAAAGCTTCCTAGAAAAGAAAAAAAAAACGTTGTCTCCAAGATAAAGATTTGAAAGTAAACAAGGCATATGCCTATAATCCCAGAACTTCAGAGGCTGAGGCAGAAGGATCGCCAGTTCAAGGCCAGTCAGGGTTACCTAGGGAGTCCAAGACAAGCCTGTCTCAAAACACCAGGAAAAAATGATGATTTATAAGGCCCAAAAGGTAAATGGAAGGGCAGACAACAGTTTCTGAGGACTGTGCCAGACTTTGATATTTTGAAGCAACTTTAGCAACATTTAGCAAATGTGAGTCAGTAATCTGTCCAATTAGCCCAGGACTATAGCTACAAAATCTATAGAAGAAGACTGAGTTGGTTTGTTTGGGTATTAGGTGAGCTTCATTTCCTAAGAGGATCTTAGAAAATGATTCCTGTGTACAGCAGAAAGCATAACTGTCCACTCCAGGCACATTCATTTACATCGGTGCCACAGTCCAGCAGCATTTTGACAGTATCTGTAGCCTTAACTACAGGCCAAGAAACATGTACTTTGTCTGCCTTTTCCTGAAAGTTGAGGATTGGCACCCTTCTGCTGTAGAAACTGTCACAACTATTTGTCCCTGTGCTGCAGCCCACACAAATCTGCCTTCATCTGTATGATTGATGCCACCTTCTTCTTTGAAGGGAATAGCAAGGAGGAACATCTCTGACTGATCTGCCAACTGGGGAACAAAGAACTGCTAACCGAGGTGTGGTAGAGACCACTTTTCCTTCCTTGGTTAAAGTTCTTAACTGTTTTAAGTGAGAAATGGTGTGTTAATAGAGGGGATGTAGACAAGTCTGACCCAAATTCCAGGAGATGTGTGGATATTGCATTCAGGTTTATATGGGACAGTTGCCATCTCCAGGTCAGAGTTAACTTTATATTTCTTGAATGTATTTACTACTAGCCTCTTCATGTAAGAATTTCACAAATTGGGAACATACCTTTTATCAGATTGGGCAGTACGAATTCTGTTTCTGTGGCAATACCCTGAGTGGATCCCTCAAATTTGGATCCAACAGACGTTCTGTTTCAGTGTCTGACTTACCAGAGAGACTACATGGCTGGGACACTCTTCTCCAATCAGCTGGACTCCAGTATCCAGATTGGATGATCTAGCTGTGATTTCTACAATAGTTCAGTAATTAAAGTGGTTCTCACAGATTTTCTCTTGGTATTATAAGAGCACCATTCATTGTATTATTAGAATTTAAATATTAAAAAAAATAGGAGGCAAGTGTCTTAGTATCCCCAAACAGGAGCCTGCTGATGGAGCCTTGTAATTCCAGGTGGGGACTCACTGCCATATGGTGAGCACCTCCCAGAGACCCTGTGAGGGGGTTGGCTGACAGGCTAGCAGTCAGATCTAACCTTTTCTTACCCCTGCTCCACTGATGTTTTTACCAGAATAACGGGAAAAATATCCATGTGCATGTACATAACCCCAGGCCAAGTGGTGCCCAAAGCATACATACAGAGACACATTTTGAAAGTTGTATTTAGTATAAATAATATACCTTTTTAGCAAGTAGCAAAGTTTTCTTATAGGTAAAATGTCTTAATTAGCTTCATGATTTACTATAACCAGACTGGTCTTACTACCAGCTTTACAAACTCCCTTTTTTTGACATCTCCTTAATTAATGTGTTTCAACATTAATTAACTTAATTAATGTAACTCTATTTCAGACAAATCTTCCTATTTTCAAACTAAAGGAATCTACTGTTAGAAGAAGATACAGCGACTTTGAATGGCTCCGAAGTGAATTAGAAAGAGAGAGCAAGGTAAGAATTATTTGTAGGGCCAGCTAAGTAGCTCAGCGGATTAAAGTGCCTGCAAGTAGGCACAGGGGCCAGAGGGGTTCAATCGCCAGGCCTGCCTTGGTGGCACATGCCTGTAATCCCAGCTCTTGGGAGGCTGTAAAAAGGCAGATCACTACGAGTCCAATCTAGTAGTGAGACCCTGAACACCCTGTAGACCCTTCCCTAAAATACAAAAAAACAAACAGCTATTTGTGATGCAATTTTAATTTTCAGATTCCTAAATTTTATTTTTTTAATGGTGAGTTCAAGGCTGGCCTGAACTATGCAGCAAGACCCTGTCTCAAAAAAAAAAAAAAAAAAGACTGAGGCAAGAGAATCATGAGTTGGAGACCCGGTTGCGCTATATAGCAAGTTCAGAGCCATCACGCACTATGTAGCAAGACCATCTTGAATGAATGAATTAAAGCAAGAATTCTAATTAGATCTTTTCAGACCACTTAAGCAAAACAATTTGAATGTTGAAAAGGATCTTTGAAATCTTAGTGGAACAAAACATTCGTGCCTTTTGTAAGTCATTGTTCCTCTTGACTACAGTCCTGCTGTCCATTTACACTGGTCATAGATATCTAAATAAGACCTTTTATGGGTACAGATATTCTCTGCCCAACATATAGCTATTTTACTGGGATTCATTGATCAATATCCCTTCTCAGTTATATGATCCCTACAGATTTGATTTTTTTTTTTTTTTTTTTTTTTGGCAGAGCCAGGGATTGAACTCAGGCCTTTGCGCTTGCCAGGGAATTGCTTATTCCACTGAGCCATCTCCCTGGCCCACCCTGCAGATTTTAAAGTACCAAATTTGATAAATGGCTAATATAGAAGAGATTTATGAATAAATACTAAAGCAGACTTATGATAGTGAATCTTAATATGTCTTAATAATTAGGATTATAAAGTTTATGTGAGGCATTTGGTTTTAAGCTTTTTTTATTGATCTGTATGAAGTTGATCTTTCTCTTTTTTAGTGCATTGGTAGTTTGTCAGATTGTCCATTAAATGAATGGGTCATTTGACAAACTGTGTTTTTCCCCCCTTGGCACCAGTTGAACTCAGGACCTTGCACTTGCCAGGCAGATGCTTATGCTGCTGAGCTATCTTCCCCGGCTGGATCTTTCTCTTTTTTAATCTGCTGAACTCTTGTTTCAAGACTAGGTAAAGAAACTCTGTATTAAGGCTTAAAGTTTTTAACCCTTGGGCTGGGGGTGAATGGAGCGCAGTGGTGCAGGTCCACCCTAGTACAGCTAAGGCCCATTTTGAGCCCCCAGCACCTCAGCAACAACTTTTAACTCTTACAGAATGTGTATAACTTTCTATATTTGTTTACTATTTATAGTTCCCTATATTCTATTACATTGGTTGGACATTCAGCAGATACTTGAACTTCTGTTTCTGATGTAGGCCCAGACTTTCTTAGGTTTTTTTCTTTGTTGGGGAACAAACCTAAGGCCTCCATGCTAGGCAAGCAGTTTACCAGAATTATACCCCTAGACACTGTCTTTCTTAAAATAACACAGAAATCCTAGGCTCAGGAAATCCTGCCAAGTAGCTGAGACAATAGGCATACTCCATCACACTTGGCTGAAATATAATTGTCTTTAAAAAGCCAAAGTGGTAAGAATTCTGCTAAGAAAAGGGCTTATCCTAATTAGGCATTGGTCTTATTTGACCAAATCCTAGAGAATATGATTATGTGAATTTAGATGTTAAATTTTTCTCTAGTAATTTGAAGATCCAGTGGTGGTCAAAAAGGGGGACTCTTAAAAAAGCCTTTGATTCTTGGTTATCTACCATAGCACATTTGTCATTTTATGAACATACAGATATTCCTCACTTAATGAGCGAGTTATGGTCTCGGGATTAGGCTGTAAATTGAATTGGTTGCTGTATATGGTATGTACATTACTATTCAGAACAAAAAAAAATGTTTCAAAGGAAACTCCAACTTGATGACTTTGCTTTTATTTGTATAACTTACAGTACTATAATGTATAGCAATGTAAAATGGCTGTACTCTATTGTAAGAACAATCAGAAATTACAGTACTATATAAACAAGGTGTACTATATTAAAAAAGACATTAAAGTTTTATAAGTAATGTATACAGACAGAACTGTATAAAAAAGAGAGATGGTGAGTCCAGATAGCATGACTTGCTCGTAAGTCCAAATGGTCACTAACCACATAGGTCATTAAACATTAGTGCTTCCTTTTGAGTAAGAGCAGTACTGTACTACATGCTTTGAAGTTTTGAAATAGAGTTCTGGTTGTCCAGTATGTGTTGTGTTGTATACTGGGATTGAAGATTGAATCCTGGGAGTGCTGAGCTATATACCACGCTCTTTTTTTCCCCTATCCTCCTGCCTCAACCACTGGAGAAGCTGGGATTACAGGCCAGTCTGGTTTGTGTTCAGCCTATGATACAAAAGTAAAAGACAGGGCTATTGTCTGAACTGGGAGATGCCACTTTTATCTAATGTGTGGGTATCGGCAGCGATGCTAAGTATCCTGCACTGCACACAGCACCACCCCACCCTTCATCAAATCACCTGACTAGGGTAGAACACTTGCTTAGCATGCTCCTAGGTTAGACTTTAAAGGGGAAATTTGAGATATGGGAAGGAAGAAAGGGAACACCTTTGGGAAAGGCTAGCAAGATTCAAGATTTGAGAGAAAGTTGATGTGTTTCTTAATGAAATAGAACACAGATGGTGATGATTTTGTCATCACCTCAGATACATGTAGGAAGCTTATAGGTGATAAGTTAAAGCACAAAATTATTATCTACTGTATTATTAACATCTTCATTTAATTGAGACTTAATTTTGGCTTTGTTTTAGGTTGTAGTTCCCCCGCTCCCTGGGAAGGCATTTTTGCGTCAACTTCCTTTTAGAGGAGATGATGGAATATTTGATGACAATTTTATTGAGGAAAGGAAGCAAGGCCTGGAGCAATTTATAAACAAGTAAGTGTTCCTCAAGGGGTGAGAGTGAATATTGTTTTGAGACTCTTTTAGCTACCTACCTGTAATTAGATGTTAAGTTTAAATTGTGATAATGCCTTTCCCCTTGGCCAAATCCTAGCTCTTTGTGCCATGTAAACTAAGTATCTGACTAGTTGAATATCATGTAATATAACACCCTTGAGTGATTGGAATGGGTAGCTTTGTGTTGACCTAAGTTTTATATTTATTTTTCTTGGTTAATTTATACAGATTACATTTTAAATTACAGTGTTTAAAAAATAGTTTTTCTTTCTGATTTCAGATATGTTCTAGCATGAACACTAAAATGCATAGTACTCTTGCAATCATTTTGTTTGATTGCAGATGATGATATCAATCCATGTCTTGTGTAAAGCTATACATTTCTTATTTTCATGACAAAAGGTTCCTTTAAAAATGTAAAAAACTTAGGACTTTATTTTTTAAGTAATTGTTAAGGTCAAACTACTATTTCTAGCATTGAATTTTATTTTCATTTGAAATTTGGCTTTTTTATTTTAATACAGGGTCCACAGGGTCTCACTACACAGATCAGACTCATAGTGATCCTCCTGTGTTCAGCCTCTCAAGAGCTGGGATTACAGGCGTGCGCCACCAAGCCCAGTCTCAGTCCCTGCTCATTGCGCCCCAGGAGCGGGGCCTGCACTCTTTAATCCACTGAGCTATTTGGCCAGCCCTGAAATTTGGCTTTTTAATTTAATTTGTTTTTGTGGTAAAAAGAATTGAATCCAGGGCCTGTTCTTAGCTACATTCTCATCCCTTTTTAGTTTTTTTCTTGAGACAGTCTTGCTAAGTCACTGAGTTGCTCAGGCTGGCCCCGAACTTGTTATGCTTGCCTCATCCACTGAATAGCTGTGATTACAGGCCAGGCTAGTTTGTATTTAGCCTGTGATGGAAAACTATAAAAGTAAGCCAAGAAAACCAGAAACAAATCAAAGAGGTGGCCTTTTGTGCCTGAATCTTAGCATAGTATTGGGTTTTATTACATTTCCTGTTTTTTAACTGCAGTCCTATATATTCTCATGCAGATGCCTTCTTAGAATTCAATGACACATTTCGCTTTTTTTTTTTTTTTTTTGCGGTACTGGGGATTGAACTCAGGACACTGCACTTGCCAGACGCGCTTATTCTACTGAGCTATCTCCCCGGGCTCCCACATTTCACTTTTTAACATTGAATTCATTTAAGTTTCTTATAAATACTCCATGATATTTAAAAATCAGGTTGGATACAAATGCCAAAAGCAGTATAATCTGTAGGAAATTTTTCTAAATCATTCTTGTGAACCAAATGAAAGAAAATATGTGATTAGTTAGCAGCGCATAAAAACTATAGCTATTCCAGCATAGTAGTTATTTTTAGTAAATTGTAAATACTTCTTAACCTTAAAATGAGTGTTTTGACCATTACTACCACCACTTCTGTAAAATATTGGACTAAATTTGTATTTTTAATTTCTAGGGTCGCTGGTCATCCTCTGGCACAGAATGAACGTTGTCTTCACATGTTTTTACAGGTTGAAATAATAGATAAAAGCTATACTCCATCTAAGATAAGACATGCTTGAAATTTGGCAAAGGCAAAAATGTGGCTATCCATGTTTCATATGCACCATTGAAGACATTCTAACTACCCCTTAGCATGCTGCACAGAAACTGTATAACATGCCTTCAGTATAGTAACACTCACGTGCACAGTTTTGTTTGGCGGTTGACAAGTTAATTTGCTTTAGTGAAAATCTCTCTTTCCAGCCTTTCTCTATAAATAGCTCTTCCTTGCTGTTTTAATGTGGTATGTATACACTATAGCCTCACAGACCTTCGCATATAAGCTGCAGTGTCCTAACTAAATTTTCTGACTTGGTCTTATTTGCACAGTTTTTGTGTCATGTTTGCTTCTTCAATCAGATTATGTAGAATAACCTCCCCCCATGTATATTGTCACTTGATCTAATTTATGTGTAGGAGCACTACACTGTTCGTTTTCAGTGCCGCACATGAAAGATACACACTTGTGTGCAGAACATGTTTTCCTTCCGGCCTATAATTCCCTTCATATGGAAAATTAATGATGGAAATCTTTATATTCTATATAAAAACAAAGTCAAGTTTATATACTAAAATCATTTGTCTAAAAATTTAAGTTGTTTTCAAATAAAAATGCATTTCTGATATGCACTGTTGGTGTTGCCTACAGCTTTTCTTTTCTCCCTTATGGCTTAGCTACTTAACTCGCTTGTTGAGAGGGATTATTTACTAATTATACACTTCTCATTCCTGTAACTCCATTCCTCTTTAAACAGTGGTGATATCAAGTATGCAGCCACCTTTTGAATGGGGTATTTTCTTTTAAACAGCAGAAAAGCGATGCACTAAAAACGCATTCCTTAAAGCTTATTGAATTGTTATGAAGTACTTTGTATATTGGAGAAATGCTTTATAATCTGAAGTAATTCTTTAAAAGGCCTTTTAAGATAACACCAAACCTCCTGTTCTTAGACTTTTTTCCTGGTCCACCTGAAATTAACAAGGGTATAGTAAGTCAGCAGATGTGTGGTTTCTCTTTAATTAGGGTCGGGCTAATGACATATTTTATTCTTTTTACAGAGGTGTAGTCTGACTTGTATAAGAGATAAGAAAATACACAACTTCTTTGCTACCTTACTTGTTTTTCGCCAAGACCTTTGCAGCCAGCATGTGGTTTCTGGTTTGAGTCTGCCATAGTTTGAGGACTCATGTGACCCAGAGTTAAATCTCAAGGTAAAGAAAGGTGATCCTTCTCAAGAGCTATCTCTTTAGTAAATGAGTCAGTACATTTGAGAGGAAACAAGCATTGGTCTTCACCCAGGATTCAGCCAAGCCGACTGGAAATCAGAACTGCCTTAGAAGGCATTTTGTTGTTCAATGTTTGTCAGTTACATAAAGCTCGATATTTCCATTTTGTAAGAAAATACAAAGCTAAACCGGTTAATTTTCTTTTGAGTAGGCTAGAGAATATCAAAGCTGTTACATTTTGGTATGCAGAACAGAAAAACAATAAATGAAGAAATGGTGGATCAGGAAATACAGTAACGTGTTTAGGCTGGGCTGTACTTCCCTGCTTGGGTTTCATCTCTGTCACGATGTCCTTAAGGATAGGTATCCTCTTGAAAAGTCAGAAGTTTTTAAACTAAGTAAAAAGTCACTTATCCCAGGACCGGGCTGAATTCAATCCCCGGGTCTACCAAAAGAAAAAAGAAAAAAAAAAAAAACCAAAACACTTATTCTAGGTTTTTGCCTAATTCAGGAAGGTACTTTTCAGTGTTGTCTTTTAAGTAACTTAAGACTGTGGCCTATAGTAAAACAGTACCTTTGCCCCTCTAAGTTAAAAGTAAAAATTTGGATGCCTTTAATTCTAACCACATAGGAAGGGGTTCTGGAAACCCTTAGGAGTCTTCCTTAGAGAACAAAATTTAATTTACCCATGTATGGCACAGCAGTGGATGGGTGATCCTAAGGATTTTCAGGCTCAGGAGGCTGAGGCAGGATAATAAGCATGTGCTACCTACCTGTCTGTATTGGTCTTATTTGAGATTACTTGACCACCTTAGACATTACAAAAACAAATCAGCAAAAAGGTCTTATCACATCTGAGACATTTTCGTAAATCATGATTTACAAAAAATTTAAGCATTGTTAGAGGCTAGGAAAATTAATTCAAAAGCACAAAAAGAAGTTTAGAAGTGGCCTTCGCTGTCAGACTGAGTGCCATGAATGGAAGCAACTGCCAGCACTAAGCACTTGAGATTCATAAGTGCCAGCAGGCAGGAGCGGTCCAACCCAGCCCTTTCTCTAGCTCTATCTTGTGGAGACCCTGCTATGAAACAAACACTAATGATGTGGTCCCGGAGCAGACATGGCAAACATGACAGATAAGAGGAAGGGACTGGCCATTCACTTCCAAGTTCACTTCCTACATAAACAGCTTGAAAGTTGGTGCCCTTGTGCTTGAGAAAAAAAAAAATTGTGGACAAACAATGTCTTCTCAGACCCAGCAGCAAAGTAAGACCTCCAAATCTGGAGAGACATCTCAAGAAATGAAACTGAAATGGGAACACTAGGAACCAAAGTGACTGGGAACAGTTAGGCTGTAGTAGTAAAGAGGTGCTTGCTACAGCCTGTACATTGTCTAGTCTGACAGTAAAAATTCCTTGGGGATTACAGCCTTACAGAGGCTCATCCCATGGGCTTTATCCAGAGGTGGTCAGACTGATATCCTAGAACTGGCAGTTCTGACAAGGGAACAGAATGAATAGTCATAGTGAAATAATCCTTTCTCTTTCGAAGGCCTCCTCTCCAGGGTTGAGACTGCCATAGTCTTCTTAATTGGCCATTCTTCCCACTCTGGCCTCCATAACCCTACCTTCTTTCCTCTTGCCCAAAGAAGACTGTAAAGAGTTACCACTTCAAGGAAATGGATGAGCAGTGCTACAGACTTGGAAGAGAAGGAGGCTCCCAGCATTGCTGATTTCACCTGGATTATAGAGTACCCCTAGCTACACCTTCCACCACACCACTAGGGCTGCAGTGCCATCTCTAAGGAGTTCTGGGGTAACCAAGAGGCAGGCAACAAAGACACTAGGGGAAGGTAGAATCCAGCACCTGAAACTCAAAAAGATTAAGCTCAGTCCAGCTCTAGCCAGAGTGCTGTAAATAAGTCTATATTCTTTAAGTGCAACATATCTAGCTCTCAACAAAAAATTATAAGCCATGCCAAAAGAAGTCCATGATAAGTCACAACCATGATTGTCACAGATGGTAGAATTATTAGGTAATTAAAAAGTAACTGCTTAATACATCAAAGGATTTTTTGCTTTGCTCTCTGTTTCTTTTTGTTGTTGCTATTTTTGAGATATCACTGTTGCCTGGACTGGTCTCTTGTGACTTTAGGTAATCTTGTATTAGCTTCCAAGTCAATATGTGAGACCATTCCCAGCCACATTAAGGGTTTTAATGGGAAACTAGACAACATGCAGAAACAGATGGTAAGGGCTGGGGATCTAGCTCAGCACCTGAGCATTTGCCTAACATCTACACAGCCCTGTGTTTGATCCTAGTAGTGGAGGCAAGGAGCTAAGAAATGGGTAATACAAAAAAAAAAAAAAAATCAGAATCGAAAGGAAATCAAAAAATTCAACATCACTGTAATACAGTGATTTATAAAAGAAAGAAAAATGACTCGAGTAGACGGTGATGCAGTCCAGGAAAGAGCTTTGTTTTTGTGTGTGGTGCATGGGCTTGAATGTGCTGGAAAGTCCTGTGCCACCAACCTGCACCCTACCCTCTGAACAGTCTCAGTCATTACCTGAAAGTTACAACAGTTCCTGGATCCACCCCAAGGCCTGTGTAATGTGTTAAAGAGAGTCATGTTTTATCAAAAGTTTTCAGTACACTTAATTTTAATAAATGAATTTATTTTGTAATCCTGTACATCTTTATTTTATGGTTCTATGGCAAATACCTAAGTAGGAATATGTGGACACAAAAAGGTTAAGCAGCCCTGATGTGCCAACCCTGAGCCTCCTGTGCCACAGTGTAGTGTGGCTGTGCCATGCCTTGGGCTGGGTTCAGGCTGGCTCATTCATAATTGTCACAACCTTACTGAATGAACATTACTCATTTTACCAACAGAAGAGTAGACACAGTTTAATTTGTCCAAGGTCACACAGCCAATGAGAAATAGATTTCAACTATAGTCCCTGTGATCAAAAATCTGCCCCTGTGCAGTGGATACTGACTCCTGTGTAGACGCACAGGCTGCGAAGTTTGGCCAGGGTCCATGCCGGAGCACTGCCCTTGCTGCTGGAGGCCACCAGCCTCCTGGGCATCACTGCTGCTATGGCATGCATGGTTGCCTGGATACTGGTATGGGTATCAGAGTCTTTCCAGAGCTAAGGGATGCTGAACATGTAAGAATTTGGTTATGTAACTGCAGTGGCCATCCCTGGTTGGTAGAGGTGAACTATACAGCTTTGCCATTGCTGAGCTTTCTTGGTACATTTCCTCTCTAGCTGGATTATGCTGTAATCCAGTTGTTTTCATGTTCAGTAAATCCTAACCATGTTTAACTGGTTTAGTCTTGGAGTGTCTGAGGTGAAGAAAGTTTGTCCTTTCAGCTGCACAGGGGGATTTGCCGTCTTCTTTCTGCAGAAGGATTTTCCTAGACCTGTAATCTGAACACTTTGACCTGTGGGGGGTTCCCTCACTAGGAGCAGATCCCTAAGCTTTGACCCTTTGTGTGCTGCCACACAGAGACAATGCTTTTCTTTCCTCCTGAGGACAGTTGACAGTTCGTAATTGATGTCAGGAATGTTAACCATCTGTGCTGCTTCATGGCCTTGCTGCTCTTTGCCACTGCTGCATGCAGCTAGCTACCTGTCGGCCTCTGCTGTCTGGAGAACAGCCCCGCCATTTCCTGACATGCTTCCAGAGAGAATCCTGCACAGTCTTGACAGAAGCCAAAGTCAGACTCAGAGAACAGTCCGAGTTGATGAGACAGTGAGTCATTTATAGGTACTGGTGGGAAGATAAATGGGTAGGACCTTCACAAGTAGCAGTGACAGCAGTTATTCAAACTAGATTAAGGGGTGCGGGTGAGGCTACAACTCAGAGGAGGAGCACTTAGTATGTGCAGGCCCGGGGTTCAATGCCCAGTATACTGCCACAAAAAGAAAAAAAAAGAAAAAAGGTTTGCTGAGGAGTTCGAGTTCTAGGGATTTATCTCATAATTTCTTAAGACAGAAAGTGTTGAGTATCTCTGAAAGATTATGCAAGAAATAGATAACGGGCTCCAAGTTGTGGGGGTGGGTAGGTCAGATGCAGAAGTGAAGGGAAAATTTGTTTATGGTGGTAGTACTCAGGGTTGGAACCAGGGGTGCTCTACCACTGAGCTATGTCCCTTTACCCTTTTTAAAATTTTATTTTCAGACAGAGTCTCACTGAGTTGCCTAGGTGAGACTTGAATATTCGTTTTCCTCCTGCCTTAGCTTCTTCCACTGTCACCACACCCAGCTGGTGGACCCTTTAGAAAAGGGCACACACCGTCATCCCAGCTACTTGAGAGGCAGAGGCAGGATTTCAAGTTTCAGGCTAGCCTGAGTAAATTAGCAA